GGGGGGGGGGGGGGGGGGGGGGGGGGGGGGGAGGAGGGGAGGTCACTGTAATAGCGATTTTCTGTCGTATAATGCTTCTTTATCACTTTTTTTTTTTATCATATAGAAAATTTGTTAAGGTTTATTGTGTTGTTTTCAGTGCCGGAGGAGATCACTGAGGAGGACCGCCGTATGGTTGCGAACATTGACAATATTGAATTGCCAACATTTGCTCCGCAATATGATCCGCCTGTATCCAGTGTTGGCCAAAAATCAAGTAAGACTTACTATAGATCGTAGCCTTTTAAGCAATATTTCTTGTTTTTTTACTCTTGTCTCATTTTGAATATCATGATATTTCTGTTTTCAGTTGGTAATTATGGAGCTTTACTGATGATTCCCATCTCTAACCACACCTCGCACTGTCTATGCTTACAGCTAAGGGATGAAACACAGACAGAACACCCTACAAATACCAGTAACATGACCATTTTACCTGCCAGCTGGTTTTTTCCACATCAGCAACCCAACTGTCTTACTTGCTACCATGCTTTATTAAATTCTATTCTTTCAGCCTTGAACTATGTAGAATTCAGCTGTGCTGAGCTTCCTTTGGTTTTTACAATCCTCTTCCTTTTTTGTTATTCTTCGGCCTACCTACGCCGCTAATTACCACCCGTCGTCTACCACAGCCTTGACATTCCTATTTGGAATGATCACTTCTTGATCGGGCCTCCGCGGCCCTTTCTACCCTTTATATTTCACATCTAGCAGAAAGCATTTCTTGGTGCTGCGTTATAATTAAACGTTATCCCTGAAACGGAAAAAATCGTTTAACTTTTTGTAAGATAAAATGGGGAATGATTGTTCATTGATAATTATAACCTAGCAGTTTCACGTGACAGTACACAATAAGATAAAACGGGGACCTAGCAGTTCACCGATATTTATAGTTGTTACAACTGTCACACCCTGGAAACAACTGTTAAACCGCATTATAAAGTTGTGCAGGTTGCATTTTTCCCAGTTTTGACTGAGGCTCTCCTCATCCTGGACAAGGGGCTGAACCTCGTCCTAGACAGTGCCATGCCTAACCACAATGAGGCACCTTGCAGATTAGACATAACAAAACATATTATAAGTTGTCATCACTGATACTTTACCGCAATGTATGCGACTTAATGGATCGAAACATTCCTGTTCAGCTAAATAATATTTGATATTAATTTCTCGTGTTATTAAAGTATTCATGAATTTTTATAAAATGAGGAATTCACAGATTTTTGATTAAAAAACTTTTGCACATATTACCTCTAAAAATTATCCAATACTTGTTACCATAATTTTATATGTTTATGATTATTGTTACTGTTATTATTATTATTATTACTATTATTATTACCGTTATTATTATTGTTATTATTGCTATTGTTATTGTTATTATTATTATTATTGTTGTTATTATTATTATTATTATTATCATCATTATTATTATTATTATTATTATTATTATTATTATTGTTATTATTATCATTATTATTCGCAAGTCTGTTTGATATCCTTGCTGTCTTGTGAAGATCAGCAGAACGATTTAGACAATAAATGATTATATTTTTCAAAAAAGTTGGCTGCTTGTGAATGATAAGTAATTTTTCATGACCGGATTTAGCAGTATTGTTAAAGATTGATGGCAGTTGTGTTCCACTGTTATGCTTCTCAGCATCGATACACCTAATCGGTTTCACGCTTAACGCATGCACATAATTCCATGCAGTGATTGAAGTGGTTTTTCCCAGAGTTAAATAGGCTCATGGGAAATCAGGCATGCAGCCTAGAGTCGAAAGGCCTGGCATAGTTGCGCTTAGCATGTGGAAGCATCCTAGTAACATCATTAACAGGGGAAATACTGATAGCCCGAGCAGTCTTGGCAATTGTACTGCAAGCAGCTTCTTTCTGCTGCTAATCTTTAGCAGTGATGAGAGAATCTGCAGCAAATTTGCTGCTG